TTAAACAGTACAGACTCAAATAGATTTTACATGTTTGCAAATGACTTACTCAAAAAATGACTTATTAAAATCATGTGTATTCATTTAAGACATATTTTATCTCTAATCAAAGCCCAATTTCAGTTTATTTTTCATTTAATGGAACATTTTTTAAGACCTTGAATAACTACAAGTTATACTTTTACCATAAACCTGAAACTTCATTATGAAAAAATTTCTTAGAACTTTTATTTTAAAAAATTCTTTCCTAAAACGTTTAACAGAAACTGTTAAAATAGAACTTTTTAAAAAAGTTTCAACTCCTTCCAACAATAACATAAATAAGTACTCATTAACATGCAGTTAAACCAAAAAGAAATGAGAGTAAAAACATCAAAGTTGAACTAAACAAAGGACTTCATAACAAAATAAATATTTTTATAGACATTGTGGCTAACAGCACAAAATGTTGACGTTTTTCTTGGAGCATCAGTTTTCTGTCAATGTAGAGGTAGTTATAGTTGCTGGTCAGATTCTTGGACCAATCATATTAAGATAAAAAATACTAGATACTCGTATTTTTGGAGTTTATAACGTTTTTTAACTTTCTAACCTTAAAATCTCTATGAAGTTAGACAAAATTTTTGGATTTTTGATGAATATCTTGGTTTGATTTTGACAAATATGAGACAAAACTTGGTTTTCTTTGAATAATCTTTTAAATATCATATCTCAACAATGGATTGGGCGCCATAATGCTGAACTACATTTTTGGAAGATTATCTCCACTCAATTACTGACATTTCCTCCTAGGAATCCCTATACATCATAGGTGATAAGTAATTAGGACTCAATAATTTTATTAGAATTGATCAAGTCCTGATCATTTATTACCTATTATATGGTTTCGTTTTCATTCAAAATAAAGTTTTTACAAAACCAAGTTTAACACTGACAACTCATATTATAAATATACAAACTGGTACATGATCACAATTAAAATAATCGTTTTCGTATACATAAATAGATAACTTTTTGTTAGTGGAAATATTGCAATTAAATATATGACAAATAAATTTTTTAAAATAAATTGTCCATAAATACAAGTATATGTTGGATTATTCATTTCACCTTCTTTATATTATATATACATGCGTATTTTAATGAAATCAAACAAATTACTAAGTTTAGAAAGTCAATTATTTGCAGTAATTTGTTTGCATGAAAGTTCAATAAGACCAAGATTAGTAAAAGTAATATTTTGAGATTAAGCAATAATACATGTGAATTGTGATCAAGCATCATATCAAAACTGATACTTTTTTTATTTCGATAAAAGTTTTCATTTTCGGAATTTTCTTTAACAGTTCAAACCCTAGTTTTGATATCAATCAACTATAAAGTAGTTAATAAATTTCAATTTGAAAAAAAAAATTGTCTGAAAATGTTTATTGTAGATAATCAATCACAACTAGACAAAGACGTAGTATTTTGTTTTTAGGCACATTAGATTTATGTATATTTTAAATATAAAAACAACAGAGATCCAAAAATCATTAATTTATAAACATTATGAAATATCTAAAGATACAAATAAAGAATATATTTTGAAAAATATGAATAATTTAAAAATCAAATTTAATAATTTAGTGAATATTTATTCCAATTAAAAACAAAAACTGTAAATACATCAATTATAAGATGTATGAATCTATTATAAAAATGGATTATAAATGTTGACATAATAATAATATTTATCAGTCCAAAATTCAAATTAAATTACTCATTTATCATGGATTTTTTATCTGAAATGTATAGAAATAATACAAGTAAAACCTCTAGTTGCTGTAGATTGTTTTGTTTAGAAAAATGAAAATTATAATTTTTATATGTTATGATTATTATCTTATGTCTTCCTCAATCTTTAATGTTTTCCTTTCTCCTTGATTAATATATTTTTAAAGAATACTTAATGTAGTTTTCAAAAGGAGTTTTTATTTTACAAAAGTTAAGACACCTTGTGCTCCTTATTTTACTCACATTTCCTAACTATAACATCTACAATTGATATTACCTGAAAACAATTATTCCATAATAAAATAAAGGTTCTGCATACGCTTTTATACTGATAATCATTTTTTTTTTTGTTTTTTTTTATATCATTTCAGTTCCACAATTTGAAGAAAATATTAATTTTTTAAAATTTGTATCTGTATAATTGTAATTTATCATTCGTATTATCTTTATACACATATGAGAATACATATACATATATACATGGACACACACACACATAAACTTCTGCCTCTTCTTCGGTCATTTAATATCTTTTGTGTTAATTCCAAGACTCTTATTAAAATTAAAGGTCTTATTAAACAATTATACAGAGGCTATTGGGTGCTCTGCTCTCCCCTCTTATATATATATATATACATATATTTTTTTTTTTTCGGTTGGCATTTCAGACCATGAAGATCTTTGACCGCGGGATGTGGTTCTAAACCACATCCTGATTCCTGATTAGAGTACGGGGTAGGGTCATCAATCCTATACCCGGTCTGTGTGAGTTGCCTCCAGTAGGCTAAAGGGCCTCACATACCTGGGGAGAGGAATCTCGGGCAGTGTGGCTTTCCTTGGTGTGGGTGGTCACCCACCCAAGTGCTAACCACACTTGGCATTGCTTAACTTTTATTACCTATAGCAAGCGCCTTAGCCCGCATGGCTACCCCAGCCTCGTATATATATATCGTTTATTATTTTTATTTAAAGTCAAAAATCAATTTTTGGTATTTAATAGTTAACCAGTCTCTTTTCTTTAGAAATCTGTTCTTACTACTAGCGGATTTTGAGGTACACAACACTTCTTCTAATGATTAAATCAGATAATTTCATTCCCTAGTTTCTGGTAATTATTATTTATTTCAACTTCTAACCAAAACCACTTATTTACATATTTCACTTTTAATAATATATAGTACATATATTACATGTTAAATCTGTTAATGATAAACAAATAGTATAGTTCACTCTTGTCTTCCCTTTATAATGATAATAGATTTAGTTATGAATATTAATTAAATTATTTTTTGCATTCTATTAATACCCTATTTGGTTATTTGAAATTGCATATATGCAGATTAACAACACTGTGCACTGCTAATGCATTATATACATATATATACCGGTTTTTTTATAAGTTAACAATGGGATCCTCGTCAAAGCTAGAACAACAAATAGCTCAATCGGTACACAATTACGCTCCCTATGTTTTTAATAACAATTTTTTAAAAATTTAACTTTCTTTTAAAATAGAGCCTCGATACCTCAGGTCAGGACACACTGGCAGTCTCGCTGTCAGCACTGTCCACCAGTACACATATTAAGCTACTGGACCGCTAAGCGTCTGTCAAGATTTTTAATATTGTTTTATGATTTTATAATGTTCACATTTTGTAAGATGACTAGTGTATATATATTTTAAGTAATTGATATTTATTTATGTTTTTAGCAATTTTAAAGTAATTGATATTTATTTATATTTTTAACAATTTTAAAATTAGTTTGATGATATTTATATGTATTTATTGTTAATTAATTTTGATAGGTTAATTTATAACCAAGAGCTGTTATACTAGCTGATTTTGTTGTTGATAGAGATATGTTCTTGATGCTGTTATATTTATCATGGATGCATTCTTGAGTTGCTTTATATAACATAGATGCAATTTTCATTTTTTGTATATAATATTTGGCCTTCGGGATGAGGACCGGGGTGGGCAGACGCATAGCGGTCCAGTAGCTTAATATGTGTGCTGTTGGACAGTGCTGAGACTGTCAGTGTGTATTGAGGCTCAATTTTAAAAGTAGGTTAAATTTTGAAATAATTGTTATTAGAAACATATGGAGGCATAATTGTGTACCGATTGAGCTTTTTGTTGTTCTAGCTTTGAAGAGGATCCCATTGTTAACTTATAAAAAAACCGGGATCGAAACGTCAAATAAACACTGAAGCAATGAACATTTAGTAGTTTATTGAATAATTAATAAGTGACCTTAAAGTGTATGTATATATATATATATATATATATATATATATATATATATATATATATATATTATTTCTGTTAACATTACAGAACTTTTGGATCTTTTGTCGCCTTAAGAAGTCTGCTCCAACTCTGTCTGTCTTGAGCTATTTATTTTCAATTATCTACAAGCAGCTCTATTGCATCTTTGTTGATTCTATCTATCCATCGGCTTTTTGGCCTTCTATATGGTGTTTTGCCTTTTATTGAGGCATTCATTGTAACGTAGAGTCTTCCAGATGGATTGCTACAAGCTATTTGCCCCACCCACCTTGACCTCTGTGCCTTCATATCATGGGATATTGATTTGCCAGTTTATGTAAGCAGTTCTTTATTGGCCTTTCTTCTCTATATATTAGTACTCTGATCCCAGATTGCTCCGGCTATCGTGTCGAGGAATTTTCTCCAATCTTTCAATACTTTTTTCTAGGGTTCTGTTCAGTGTCCAGGACTCATAGCTGAATGATTAAAACAGGTTTTATCATAGCATTGTACACCCTAAATTTGAGATTTTTCGGGATTTTAAAACCTTTGAAAGGAAGAAGAGAGCTCTGTTTGAACTAGTTATATGCTGTTCTATTTCTGACCATTGGTCATTCACTGAGGTTATGGTAGAGACGAGGTATTTGAATTTTTCTAATCTCGGGAACGATTTCCCTTTTATGCAGATCTCGTTATTATTTTTTTTTTTATCTAATGCTATAAATACTTTTTAAAGGTTTCCTTTGTTTCTTAAATGTACTAATTTTGCCTAACTTTGGTATACATATAACTGGTAAAATATACTAACAGCTTTCATAAATCATCAACTATAAAATCATTATGGAGGAAATGAGAACTACAAAATTATTAAATTAACTAAACAAATTTATTAATACTTAAAAAACAAAGATTTTTTAAAAAATATAAATATAATTCCTAAATAACTATCAACAATTATACTTCAAGAAGTTTTTCAGTTTGTGCTTTCAATGACATCAGGTTTTCCTGAATATGACTAGTTATTATAAGCCTAGCTCTTTCAGGATTTACCTTATCACACTTCAACTGCTTTACAAGCTCAGAAACCTCAATGGGAGGTCCAAAATTTAGAGTCATCACTTTCCCAATCCTAAAGTAATATGGGCGTGTATTTGGTAAAATATCCTCCATACCAATATGCCATATAGGTACAACAATAGGAGTCACGGGTAGATCATAAATAATTCTTCCTATTCCCCATTTAAATCGTATCAATTCCTTGTCCACGTTAACCCTCCCTTCAGGAAAAATATGCAACCATTCTCCATGTTTAAGCTTCTCTATACAATAGTTTACAGCATCCTGAAAGAAAAACAACTAATTATCTCTCAATCAGACATCTAAATATTTAAATTTTAAATATAACAGAATGATACACACATACAAAAACGAATATTACAATGATATTGATATGCATATATATTAAAAATAATTTTATCCTTGTATAATTTCACTAGGTTAATGTGAAAATAGGAACACATAACAATTCACTCTATAAAACCAGCAAATGAAAGAATATTTGGAGATGTTTCAATAATCAAAATTGCTATAACTGACATCATATAAGAAATTTGTATAAGGGACTATATTTAAAGGATAGATTACAACCCCAGCGGATCCAGGATTTAATTTTGGGAGAGGGAACTTCAGCCCAAAAGCTTTTTTTTTTCATACATATAACGATAATTACTTTGAAAAAAAAAAAGAAAGATACTAACTACCTGTATGAAATAGTGTTTAAGTGATTCTTGTTCCTATAAAACGTATTTACACAAACAATAATACTTTAAGAGATAATTTGTTAATATCTTTTTCCATAAAACATGGTTACATTTTACCATTTTGGGGGAAGGGTTTCAGCCTGAAAGCCCTTCCCCCCATAGATCCACCTGTGGATTACAATGTTTACAAGACACAGCCCCATGCTTTTTTTTTAATAACGATTAGACAAATAATATAATAATCTATAACAAAAGTCAAACTAAACAGCAATAATTAAAATCAACAACTACTAATTTCTAAACTGCACCCAGGAAAAAAGTAGGCCTGATTTTTATGTTTTCCTGTTAAATTATTTTAAATATCTTCCTTATTTTTGTAAATTAATACCAGTTGAAGTTAAAATAGGGATACAATTTCAATAAATGCATTAAAAAGGAGAGGAAGATTTTTTATGAAAGAAGAGTACGAGAAATTTGCGTTAATTTAAAATTAATATTGAATTAGTAATGTAAAGATAAAATTTGTAAAGAGAGGGAGTTCAAATTAATAATACTGGTAAAATTATAAATAAATCCTATCTAAGGAAGAGATATCAGATTTATTAAGACAAAATATAATATTTTAAAAATTTGTTTAGCTAATTATATAAAATTTAAATTTTGTTTAAAATTAAGTAAAATTTCTTTTCTTGTTATGTTTATTATATTAATTAAATATAGCATACTAGTATAGTTTTTTTTTTTCTAAAAATGCAACTAAGAATGTTAAAAAGAATAAAATATAAAATGAAGTGTGTCATGAAACAAACTAGCGCTGTATACAGACGTCTGAAATTTTAATTTTTTAGACATATTAAAAAATTAGTGTCGATGGAAACTTTATTTCCCACATTAAATTAATTAACGTTTAAACAGAGGTACATCACAAAAAATGAATGCTTAAAAGGAAAAAAAAATGGAACTGCTTTGTATACCTGGCTTTAAACAGGAAGGACAAAGGAAAAACAAAAAGACTTAATGGAGTAATGACCAATGAGGATATCCCACATAAGTAGTTAAAATAAATTTGCAAGACAGTGAAACTTTAAAAAAATGTGAAAAGATTTAGAAGAAACACAAAGCTGTACGTTTTCAGGTTTGAACCAAAGCAATTCTAAAGAAAGAAGGTTTGAAGGTGAAGATATCGATCATAGTAAATATTATTTTTAATGAGCAGTTAAAATGTTTATTTATTAGTTAATTTTAAATAATATAAATTATCAATTGAAAAATAAACAAATCATTATTAACTAATATTCCACAAAACCAAGACCAATCCATTTTTTTATTATCACCAACTAAAATTTTGGACATTTATGTTACAAGAACTTGTACATTTTAATAAATAAAAAAATCTGGTATGGTGCATGGAGCACACAACTTTCATTTATCACTCTGCTTAGAGTATAAATAGGTATTTTCAAATACAGGGTGTTTCAGGGTTAAGTGGCTAAACTGCAAAAATGAACTAAGGACTTCAAAGCAAGAAAACATTTTCCTCTGAAGGCATGTCCGCAAACACTTTGTTTAGGAGATATAGGAAAGTAAAAGTAAAAATTCTGGTATAACTTAATTTAATTCAATTAATTACCATGTTTACCTCACCTATCGAATCTATAAAATTTATATGTTTGTGGGGAAAAATCCAGCCTTTTATTGAAAAATCTATCACAAAGCTCGTTGAAAAAGAAGTTAATATTAGTTTATATTATATATTGCTAAGATTATATTAGTAGATCATTAATATTTCATGTCAAAACTTTTTTTTGAAAATTATGGATAAGTGAAATATTGAAGCTAAACTTTTAATGAAAAAAGAGGGTTATAAAGAGGGTTATTTGGTATCTGAAAATAGAGATCAGCAAAGGCTTGGGGGATCTCAGTTATTTCCAACCCTTATTTCTTCAATAGTTAACAATAATTTTTTGTATTACATTTAATTTCAATTAATATTAATTAATTATTTATTATTAATTAATTAATTAATTATTTATTCAAATTATTTAATTTCAATTGATATTAATTTTAAAGCATTTATTTAAACCCTGTCAATTTATTTTAATGAACATAATACTTGTATAATGTTAAAGACCAATTGATTTTACATTGATATGAGTTTAATCAAAGTTGTAAGAGCTGTTTTTGAGAAAATTGTAAAAATGTATAAATTGGATGATAAATATTCTGGTAAGTAGATTTTGGCCAAAATGTTGCTGTAATATCTCAGCCAAATACCTACCTTAAATAAGTAATTTCAGTTTCATATGATTTTTTGTTTTTGAGCTAAGCTGTTCACATACACACAAACCATTTTGCGAAACTGTGAAAAAATATGTTTTTCCCTAGCAAACTTGACTTCGAAAATTTTTTAAGATCGCAAATACAAAAATCAACTATTCTATATTTCAGATATAGGTAAGTAATATATATAAATAAATAATATACAATGACATTGTTAGACCATCTGAAGCAACCATACTGTCACATTTTAACACATCAAATATTATTTATAATACATCATATACAAAGAAAAAAAATATATATATATTTACATATAAATATAAATGTAAAGTTACAAATTGATAGATTAATAACTTACATGCATTTATACATACAAAGATGCTCATTAGGAGGCAATAATCAGTTTTTTAAAATTACAAGACAAACTACCAAGACCATTCTTTTGAGTACTATTTTCCTAATGTTTATTGAATTATATTTAATTATAACTTAAAAAGAGTTCACCATTCTCTACACCAAGCACAAATTGTCATATATACATATATATAACTTGCTAGACAAGCAGTTGATTAATATGAATTATTATTTGGCATTATAAAATTCTGGTGCGTGCAACACTCAACTTTCACTTACCGATCAACTTTGAATAGAAATTATTTTTTGGCCATGTTGGGCTATTATAAAAATTTTAATTTTTAACCGAGCTAAAGCTAAAGCTTACAACTAACAAATCATAAATACCATTAAAATAACAAAAATCCTATTTATTATATCACCGGTTGATTATGGATTGTACAACTATTAGTTATTAAACTGTTATTTTCTATTGCAAACTTCACTAAAATGGAATTATGAGATTTGAATTGTCTGTCATAAACAGGTCAAAAGTTGTCACACTAATTGTAAGTCGAAACTGATGGGATATCACAAGGGGAAAATTCATCAAATTATTCACTAATTTAAATTTCTAAAAGATTACATGATGATTTTTTGGAATAAACGGACGATAGATACCTAATTATTTAAATATAATATCAGATCTAGAGTTATTAAACTATAGTAAATATATTCGATGTTAAAAATATATCCATAATATATTTTTATATTTCACTCCTTCTTTCACACAAGTACAATGAAATAGTATCTCAAACAATGTCATTGCCTTGATTCTAGGGATTTTAAATACTTTTTTTTCAAACTTAAAAGAAAACAATTAAAAGTTTACATTAAGTAAGAAAAATTCATTTAATTTCCTTGAAAACATGCGATTTACATTAAATAATTTTAGTTTTTAGAAATCATTATTTATATTTTTTTCCACTCTCCGTTACCTTCTACAATTTTCTATATTAGATATTGTTTTGTTTTTTTAAATTCTCCGCTTTCCAACGATATATTAAATGCATACCTTCTGACTCATTACCGCGTATGGGGAACGTCCCACGGAGGTGGATGTGGGGATGGTTGGTGGAAATTGACCAACAACGAGAGGGGCCCTCCAGACTTTCTGGAGGGAGGAGACCTCCAGACTTGCTGGAGGCAGGGGCCCACCAGACTTGCAGGAAGGTATGATGTAGGACTGAACGTCTTACTCACATATCTTTAGTTCACCATACATCACAATGTTGGTACATGGAACGTAAGGAGTTTAAACATAGCAGGGGGGTTAAAATCGGTGACGAATGAAGTTAATGGGTACAATTTGTGGCTATGCAAGAGGTTCGCAGGCCAGGGGAGGGCTTGATGAGAGAAGGAAAGTACACTATTTGGTACGGAGGAAGCGGGAATCATTGTTTAGGTACCGGGTTTCTAATTAGGAATAGATTGCTATCCACTTTGTGGGATGCACCATTCTTTAGTGATAGAATTTCAGTAGCTATATTTCAGGGAGGTTGGTTTAAAATTGCAGTAATAAACATACATTGTCCGACCGAAGACAGTGACGATAAAGTCAAATGCGAATTTCACGATAAACTCGAATGGGTTTATGATAAAGTATCGTGAAACTCCATGACAATTATTGTAGGTGATGCGAACACAATGGTGTGGAGGGAATAAGTTTATGTTCCGACAATGTTAAGAATAGGTTTGAAGCTTTAGAGCTTTCTGAGGAGGACCACGAGGATATTGACAAGCTATGGGTAGAGATCAGGGATAATATTAAAGTGGTCGGTAACTCGTGTCTAGGAAAAAGGGAAAATAAGAATAACAAACCATGGTTTGATGAAGATTGCTTAAACATGTGCGAAAAAAGAAAAGTCACTAAATTAAAAGGTCTAAATAATCCTAACGAAGGCAATC